CTGAACCTATATAGAGTGGATGGCAGTAGCTGCCCCACGGGGCTGGCGAAAGCTTAAACGAGAAAGTGGCTGATGGTGCCTGGTGCACCTGGCCCACCTGGCCCAGAGGGGATGTGACTGAGCCAGAGCTTTGCCTTGGCCATCACCTTATCAGGCCCTGGGCTCCTGGGCTCCCATAGGCCATCACCATGGCTCCCTGGTTCTCTCTGTTCTGCCTTAATTTCTTCATTCCTAGTATTTTTTTCATTACAAGATAACAAATATACAAGAAAGTAAGATGGTTTACTTGCCCTGTGCTCTCAGATAGATAACTTAGTATCAAAAGATAAAAATTCTTCACAAATCCATCTATGAATACAATACAGTTTCAATAGAGATTCTAAATGATTTTTTAAACACTTTCAAACAATTATTCTAGAATTTATATGGAGGCATATAGGCCTCAAGTAGTTGAAAGAGGGCATAGGAGGAAGATTTGACCTGTACATAAGAAGTTATTACAAGCCCATAGTAGTAAGTCCAACATGGGATCTATGCAGGGATAGGCATGAAGACCTGTGGAACAGAACAGAGGACTCAGCGGCAGACTGATGTACACTTGGGGGGCTTAACATACAACAAGAGTGGCATCATCATGCAGGGGTGGATGGTCTGAGGATGGTGTTGGAAAATTGGCTCATTATACGGAGAAAAATAAAACAGAATCCCTACCTAACCCCACATGCAGAGATGAGCTCCAGGCAGATTAAACGTCTAAATGGGATGCCAAAGCTATAAAGTTAATGTAGTTAAAATATTTTGTGACCTAAGGGCAAGGAAGGATTTCTCAAGCAAAAATTCATCGGCACAAAACATCAGACAAAACCTGGCAAATTTAATTACATTAAAATGAAGGTTTTCTGTTTAATGAAGGACACCCCAGGCAATGTTAACAGACAGGTGACAGAACGCGGGAAGGTACTTGCAACATGAGAAAGCGGGGAGTAACATCTGAAAGTTCTACACACCAAAACAAGGACACGTCCCTGATAGAGAGAAATGGACTGAGGTTTTAGAAGACAAATTCAGAGAAGGAAACATCTAAAACTAACACGCTAGCAGATGAAGACACATTTAAAGTCCTTAGTGATCAGACAGATTCGCGTTGAATAGAGATACATGAAACTGGCAAACATTAGGAAGCTAGATAATATCGACTGTCACAGGACAAGGGTTTAGTTTAGGCTCCTACACGCATTGCAGAAGGTGGGGAGAGGGTAGTTTTTACTGCCTGGAGGAAAATGGGGTGCTGCTGCTGGCCCAGCAATCCTGCTCCTAGTTACTTATCCCAAAGGAACACTCTTACAGGTCTAAAAACGATGTGACTGATGACATGTGTGCATTATCTGTGATGGAAGGGAGTTGGTGGCAAAGCTGGATGTCGTAGAGGTAACTAGTGTAGATCCGTGCCATGGACTCACAGCAGCATGGCTGGACCTTAAAAATACGGTTCTTGGTGAAAATAAAAGAAACAAGAGATAAGAACACAATATCATTTACACAAATTAAAAACAGCAGCATGCAAAACAATGCTCATTTTGGGGGAAAAACATGCACACCAGGATGGTTGCCTCTAGCGGGTAGAAAATGGGAGTGGGTGTAGGGATAAAAGGGAATAAATAAATATACAGAAGAAATGAGATGGTACATGGAGAAAAGGGGAGACGAAGCCTACGTTCTGTTCCATCAGCCTCACGGCACGTGCTTTCCCTTTCCTCTGCCCTTCCTGCCTCCCCCCGACACCCCGCGAATTCCCCACAGAGCTCATCTCAGGACACGCACCAGGACTGATGGCCTCACACTGTCTCGTGAGTTTTCCCTCAGTCTAATTTATCCTTCACATTATTTTTCATGACTACATAACATTCCAACCGGAAGCAAAAGCGTCACTATTATTGAGCATCGAGGTGATTTCTATGCTTTAACCAGGAATAGCAACTATGTAAGCTTATGAGGACGTCCGCAGTATTACCCCAGAGCCCCACCCCTGAAACTCCACAGGGCCAAATTATGACTTTTGTGGGCCCTTTCCTTCAAAAATAAAACAGTAAAAATTATATTTCATGACTACATTGGTACCAAGATAAATATAATCCAGGGTGGACTCATAATTATTGCATATTCATTATCAGTCTATTCATTTTTTCTTCTGAATTTAGAAAAAATTAAAATTAAGTACTTCTATAGGCCACTAACCTTATGGGTAAGTTTTTCTCTGTCCTGTGGATTATATACTAAACCAGTGGCCCAGCCTGGACTAGAACCCAGGGCTCAGGTAGCCTGGCTCTGTCCGCCGTGACAGGCAGCCGTGCCAAGACCACGCTGGTTCCCATCTAACCCGATAAAGGCCATGCTGACCGTGCTTGGGGAGGGGCAATGAGGCCTGGTAAATGTTTAACAACTGACTCAGTGAGAGAAAAAGCCCTGGTCTGTAGCATTTGCCAGTTTCTCTAGTATAAATAATCTCACAGCCAATTTTAAGCCAGTTTTTATCAATTAGATAATAGTAAAATCTAACAAAATAGGAAGAGACATATTTTGGGTATTTGCTGCCTTTGTTTTTAATATAATCTATTTACTTATACGTCTTTATAATTTGATTTTTAATAATGGCTGTGTTTGTCCACTGGCTCACAAACATTCCTGAAATTTTAGCAATCAGCTCGTGCAAGCTGGCACAAGCTGCCTTCAGCCATCACTGCAGCAGTGGGTCTTGTGGGCCCAGACCCGACAGAAGACTACATTTCCCAGAAGCCTCCTCTCCCAGGACAGGCCCTCAGCTTCTGAAAGCCATTACCATGGAGACAGGCTAACAGATGGTACGGGCTGTCCTCAGAGGGGTGAGAAAGGAGTAGGGGACTGGAGGTGGCTGGACCCTGCCTGGTAGGGGGCGGAGGAGGGTGCTGGTAGTAAGGGGTCTTCTTCTGCCTGGGCTTTCAGGCCTGATAGTGTGTGTGTGTGTGTGTGTGTGTGTGTGTGTGTGTGTGTGTGCGCGCGCGCGCGCGCACGTGCAAGAGGTTGCTCCTGGGGAGAAGGATTGCAGAAAATGGCCTGGGCTGTAGGGGGACCTCTGGGCCTCTCAGCAGGGTCCGGGGAACTTTGAGGCGGGACTGTTGTCCCCAAACCGCACTGTGGCAGACCAGACAGCCCGATGTAGAGAACAAAGTAGTGCGGTTCTGGCCCAGCTCTGTCTCTGATGACCATGTTCTGTGACCTTCGGCCCAGAGCCCATCTCAGTGTCTGCCCCAGCTGTAACCCCTGCTGCCCAACTTGACCTTCTCCCTCTCCTGCTTCTTTCCTTGTTCCCCAATCTCCCTACCATCACCTGCCACCATCCTTCTGGGACTTTCCCACCTCATTAGGCCCTTAAGTGTATGGGTTTCAAACCCCAGATCTACTACGTATTAGCTCTGTGACCTTAGGCGGTTTCCCCTTGCTCTAGGCCTCAACTTTTTAATCTACGAAGTGGGTGACATAATAACGTCTGCCTCACAGCAGAATCATTGGAGGATAAATGAGATCAGCTCTGTCAAACCCCTCATTAGCACAGTGCCTGGGACGCAGTAGGTGTTTAGTAAACAGGAAGTGCCTTTAGTGGTTATTTTTGCCCTCCCTGAGCTCGTCCTCTCTGGGCCCAAGAAGTGAACAAACGGATCTGATCACTGGGCTCTGTTGCTTGGCTGGTGGGCTCAGCGGGAGGTTCACCTTTAGGGAACTGGGTCCTGAATGGGCACGACCATCCGGCCCACACTGATGCCCTACCCCGAGCTCTACAACTGGGACAGCTGTGCCCAGTTTGTGGCGGACTTCCTCTCCGTGGTGCCCCTGTCCGACCCCCTCAAGCCGGTACGTGCCACCCTGGGAAGGTCTGGAGAAAGGGGCTCAGCAGGACACAGGCCACAGCCCACGAGTCTGTCTGGGGGTGTGGCGGGAACAGGCCCAGAGAGAGGCGGTCACTTACCCGAGGTCACAGAGCACAGCGGTCTCCACCCGGCATTTACGTCCTGGTGCCTTTTGCCCTCTCGGTCCTGTCTCCGCTCCAGAGGGTGATGACAAATCTGGGGAGAATCTACACATTTCTTCCCATTCCTTACTACACCCCTCACCAGATCCTGTGTGTTAGGTCAGTTTCCTCCTCTCAGTACCTTTTCCCTGTTTGTCGCAAAGAAAACAGATACTGAGGTGGGGCAATGGGAAGACATGAGCTGGGCGGGGGGTGGGGGGAG